GATCGATGCCGGAACATCGGGTCACAGTCTCAACTGAGACCGGCCTCAGACGCCTCCAGGCGGGAAGGTGTGAGGACGACAGTGGACCGTGTCCACACCTGGAGTACACTACACACTTTAAACCTCTGCTCACCAGATGTTCTCCTACAGTCATTGTAATGCTCTAAAATCCAATCCAAAAATCATACATAAAATCTCTCATTTCTCTCATATGCAAACAGCCCTGAGTAGAATTTATTGTAAGAAACACAGTTGAAGCAAGGTGGTGGTGGCACACACCTTTAATCCCAGCACTCTGAAGGCAGAGACAAGTGGATCTCTGATTTCAATACCAGCCTGGTCTACAGAGTGAGAGTTTCAAGACAGCCCGGGAAACACAGAGGAAACCCTGTCTTAAAAAACAAGACAGACGGAGGGAGGGAGGGAGGGAGGGAGGGAGGGAGGGAGGGAGGGAGAACAATACACATGGCTCCAGGGCTTCAGAACATTCAGGAGCGGCAATGAGCTAAGGCGCTGCAGGGGGACGGCTGCTGAGACCCGCTCTTCCACCATCAGTCTTGCTTCCTTCCCCGGCTTTCAGCACCTGTTCCTGGCGAGTGGCCAGAGCTGAGAAGGATGCAGAACCAGCCACCATGGCCTCACACCCGCTTGGTATTTTATGGATCCATATAAAGGACATGTGGCTCACTCTCAATGTCTGGACTCTGGTAACAACTTGTCAGTAAATACCCAACATGTCTGAGATCATTTGTTTTAATAAAGTTTCATGACTCACCAGCTACCAAAGCCTTGATTTAATTCAAAGTTCAGAACATAATTCCCATTTTCTCAGGATAATTTTTTTTTCTAAATAAATACTAGATCAAAGTAGCAGCACAATGATGACATCCATTTTCCAAAACTACAGAGCAGTGACAGGCCAAATGCCACCGTCAGCTGCCTCTAGTGAGGAACAGCTCTCTGGGAACGCTAAAGGAAGGGCTGTCACAAGGGTGACACCCCCCCCCCAGCCTCCTCACTCTGCTCACCCCCACAAGCATACAGGTTCCTGAACGGCAGCCTCCCCCGTGTGGACTCACCCTGTTAAAGTTGGCTGTTTCCTTACTTTCTTACTTCAGTTCCCCTGAGTTCTGACTTTAAAAATTCAAAGAAAAAGTTTACAGGTCACAGCCCTCCTGAGTAGTTTTCGGTAGCTTTCAGGAAACTCCCGATAAACAAAAAGTAAAACCTCATTAAAGCACAAACAGGATGCTAACCAATTCCCTTCATGACCGAGGAAGACTCCAGCACTTGGGTCAAAACAACTAAGAATCTAAAGATAAACACACCAAGAGGACCTGGCCCCACCAGGCATGGCCCAGTTCCATCTCACAGGATGGCACCAGCCAGATCCTATGCAAAGTGCAGAAGCTGGGAAGCACCTCTCCATCTCTCTGGTCGCACACGCCAAAGTCCTGCTCTCTACTCGCTCATGCTCACGTCCAGGAAGGAAAGGGCCCAGGCACTCCAGGAGGGATGACCCCAAGAGAGATGCAGCCCTGCATCTTCCAAAGCCACCACTCAGTTCTACAGAGGAACCCTGCAGGCGAGGGGACACAGAGGCCTGCTGGAAGAGACCACCCAGAGCTTCCTTCTAGCCTACCTGCACCCAGCAGGCAGGGGCAGCACCATGAAAACATGTGTGAAAGCCTTGATGCATTTTCTAAATTAAAGAGAGAGAGAGAGAGAGAGAGAGAGAGAGAGAGAGAGAGAGAGAGAAACTACCCCATCTACCTGCTGTCACCATCATAAACATATAAGGATCATGACCAGGAGAGAGGAAACAGAGGTCAGAGCAGGTGAGGGTACCAGACCCACAAAGACCAAATTCTCAGTGATGGGAAAGAAGCAACTCCAAGCAGCCAGGGACTGCATGGGGGAAGGGGAGGAACAATTTGGTGGCAGAGGCTCTTGAGAAGCTCTCATCAATCGTGGTAAGCAGTGGTGGCACACGGCCTGCTTTGTAGGAAAGTGTGGGTGATTCAAGAGCCAGGCAGCCGGGGGTCAGCCATGCTCCCCTCTACAGTGCTCCAGTCAGTCTCCTGGGACAAGCTCTAACAACAGCCAGGTCCGCCCCACTGAGGGATCTGCAAAGGAGCCTCAAAAGCCACCCCCAAATGTGATCCTAATCATTAGGAGAACAACAGCAGCTCTTTCCAGAGCCTCCCTGCTCTCTGCCAGTTGGTGCAGGATCATCCAGCCCTCTCAGAAACAGCCTCAAGAGGCCCAGTTCTGAGATTCTCCACCCACAGCCTCAGAGTGCAGAAGAAGCAAGACAAGAGCAGCAGGGCGTCTGTCCACTGTGGGGGCCGCTCACACTCAGCTCAGTGCAGCAGGGCGTCTGTCCACTGTGCAGTCCGCTCACACTCAGCTCAGTGCAGCCGGGCCTCTGTCCACTGTGCGGTCCACTCACACTCAGCTCAGTGCAGCAGGGCGTCTGTCCACTGTGCGGTCCACTCACACTCAGCTCAGTGCAGCAGGGCGTCTGTCCACTGTGGGGGCTGCTCACACTCAGCTCAGTGCAGCCGGGCCTCTGTCCACTGTGTGGGCCGCTCACACTCAGCTCAGTGCAGCCGGGCCTCTGTCCGCTGTGTGGGCCGCTCACACTCAGCTCAGTGCAGCAGGGCGTCTGTCCGCTGTGTGAGCCGCTCACACTCAGCTCAGGGCTCCCCAACGCTTTCCACGCTGTTTAATGTTTATGCACAACTGATGGGAAAAGAAAGAGGAAGAAGGAAGCAACAAGAGCAAAGAGGAGGAAGAGGGAAACAGGTGGAGGAAGACTACAGTGGTTCTCAACCAGTGGGTCACAATCCCTTTGGAAGGTTGACCAGCAGAAAACACAGATATTTACATTACGATTGATAACAGTATCAAAGTTACACCATGAAGTAGCGACGATAATAACTGTATGGATGGGGTCACAACATGAGGAACTGTATTGAGGCTGCAGCAGTAGGAAGGTTGAGAAGCACACTGCACTACACGCAGGACTGCCAACACAACACACCCTCCCATTTCACCACACCCCGGCCACTTCAGACTCATGGTGCTCGTGCCCACTCGGTTCCTGTACTTTCCAATTTCTGTCATCAATGAACTTGATCAGCACACTTACAAATTCTCACCCATAGGAATGACAAAAGGGCTGAAGAGGTCAAGGTTAGAACAGAACCCATCCTCTGATGGTCCTTCCCCTCAACCCCAAGATTACTGTCCATACAACACCTAGTATTAAGATCACACGGCTTGGGGCTGGTGAGATGGCTCGATGCTGCCAAGCTGTGACCTGAGTTTGACCCCTAAGGTCTATATGATAGAAGGGAGAAAACTGAAAACCAACTCTTACAAGCTGTCCTCCGACCTTCACAGCTTGCTACACACCTGCGCCATTGCTATACACTAAATAACATTTAACTAAATAAAATGTAATAAAATTTAAAAGAAAAAGATCACACTGCTCTGCTCATAAATGGGCAAAGAACATAAATAAGGGAATCCCCGTTTTCCAGAATACCCCATCACTTTAGGGGCAGCTAGGCAGAGTTCGGGGGACACTGTGCCTTGTGCAAATCTCTTTAATCCTTAGACCTCCAACTTCTTCCTGGAACAGTGCCAGCATCACACACCTAATACATTCTAAGGTGCCCTCCAAACCAGAGGTAAATGGTTAAACATGGACTGATAACTAACATCAGCAAAAGGAGAGGTGACGAGGAGATGTCTACCAGGGAACACGCGGCTCTGAGTCCAATCTCCAGAAAGCATGTAAAAAGCCAGATGTGGTGGTGTGCACTTGGAATCTCAGTGCTGGAGATCAGGGACAGGTGGGTCCGTGGGGCTCACTAGCCATCCTGCCTAACCAATCAGAGCCCTCCAAACCACCAAGAGCATCTGATCTCAAGAAACCTGAGAACTAACACCACAGTTGTTCTGAGTACAGGTGCGCGCACACAATCAGGAAAAAGAACTCGCCTGCAATGCACAAAGCTTTAGACCCAATCCCAGGAGTAGGCAGACAGATAGAAGATGTGGCGGATATCTGCTTATACTGTGTAGTGATGTGTCATATGATTGCTTTAATAAGGAGCTGACAGGCCAGACACCAGGCTGGACAGAATAGGAGGGATCTCTACGGAGACGGAACTCTGGGAAGAGAGATGGAGAGACATCAGGCAGACACTGAAGAGGTTGGACATATGCGATACAAAGTAGAAGTAACCAAGTCATGTGGCAGAACGTAGATTAATTAAGAAAAAGAAAAGCTTAATAAATTATAAGAGCTAGTGGGACAAGCCTAAGCTAACAGGCTTCAGAATTAACATGTCTCCATGTCAATATTGCGGACTGCAGTCCTGACGAGAAAGTACTACTCCAGGAGGACAACGGAAGCGTGCAAGAACACGGAAGGACGACCAGTGAACATTTCCTAAAGAAGCAGAAACAGACTGTAGAGACGTCCAGACGACAGCAGGGGAACTCTGGGGAGCGACAAGACACGCCTCACAGTTCGAGCAGTTCTAATACTGTTTCATTATCGCTGTTTTAATACCACTGGCTTTGATTCTTAAACCTATGATACTGATTTCTTGGTTCTGTTAACTTTTTTAAAGATGAAAAGAATGAAGCAACAAACTAGGAAGCGAAGACGACGCTTCTGGGTAGGAAGTGGCGCAAAAGGGACAGGATCAAAGGAGAGGAGGTGAAGGCGGGATTTGGGAGGAACCAGCCTACAGCGGGCAGGTGTGGCAGCTTGCTGCAGTGGGAAGGAGACACACAGTGGGGAGCTTTCTTCACAGGGGGTGAGTGGGAAGCTGGACCTCAGAAGACTGCAGTGCTAAAGAGTAGCCCAGTGTCAGCAACAAAACTTTACCAGCAAGAAAGGATGCTGTGAATTCTGAAGAAACTGTTATTAGCCACATTTTTAAGTCACTTTTAACTCAGTAAACATGTTTTTTGGTTACTTGTAATTTAGCGAAGGTGGTATTTAATGCCTTTCCTGGCTGGAGCCTGTGTCAGGGTCTGGCTCCTCTCTGCACGCAGCTGCCTTTTCAACACTCTCCATTCACCCCGCAGCTGTACCAAGAAGGCGACAGTCAGGGCAATTCACAGACCCAAGCTTAGCATCCCCAAGCAGGAACTGGAAGAAACAAAGTGAATGGAAGTTTTGTTATCTACAGGAATGATGACTGCAGCAAATATCTTCCTTATTAAAAATGTGACCAAATGCCAAGCCTGCTGGCACAAGCCTGTGAGCCTAGTGACTGGAAAAGCCAAGGCAACTGTAAGGCCTGTTTAGGCTGGAGTAAATTCAAGGCCAGCCCTGGACTTAGACCCTAGCTAAAAAGAGGCCTGGGTACCTGTATTTCAGCAGTAGACTGCTTACCCGATGTCATGGTCAATCTCAACAAGATTTAGAATTGGCACTGAAACACATCTCTGGGCATGAGGGTGTCTGTCTCCGGAAGTTTAACTAAGGTGGGAAGAGCCACCCCACCCCAACTCCCTAAAATGTAGGCGGGCTAGAATCCCAACCTGAATAAAAAAGAGATGGTAAGGCTCACAACCACCTCTTCTTGGCCTTCTCAGGTCCCCACACTCCTGGCACACATTCACACAGATACACAAACATATAAATAAACCTCTGTTGGGTGTGGTGGCACAGCACTCAGAAGGCAGAAGCAGGTCTCTGTGAGTTGGGGGCCAGCCTGGTCTACAAGGCAGGAAAGCCAGGACTGTTAAAGCAGAGAAATTCTGTCTCAAAACAACACAACAACAAAAGGTGATTGTGGTAGTTTGAATAAGAATGACCTATCTAAGCTCGTATATTGGAATGCTTAGTCACCAGGGAGTAGAACTATTTGAAAGGATGAGAAGGATTAGGGGGTGTGGCCTTGTTGAAGGAATTATGTCATGGGGGGGGGGGGCTTTGAGGTTTCAAAAGCCCAGTCTCTCTCTCTCTCTCTCTCTCTCTCTCTCTCTCTCTCTCTCTCGGATCGGGACATAGAAATCTCAGTACTTCTCCAGCACCTGTCTGCCTTCGCGATCTCCCCCGTGAAGATATGGACTAAGCCCCCTGACACCCCAAGTTAGAGCTTCCCTGGAGGAGAACTGAGAGCTGCTGTGGTCGTGGTGTCTCCTCACAACAACAAAGCAGTTAGTGAGAGAGTGACCCAGACTGCGATAAATAAACTGCCCGCAGAAGCAAACAGACACCTCCTCTTCAGGCTCCTCCAAACTCACACAAATAATTTACAACAACAACAGAGAGGAAGAATAGCAAGCTGGGCGGAGTGGTGCACACCTAATGCCAGCACTCAGGAGGCAGGAGCCACACAGTAAGACCTTGTCTCAAACGGAGGAACGAATGAATGAATGAATGAATAAATAAATAAATAAATAAATAAATAAATAAATAAATAAATGAATAAATAAATAAGAAAAAGCAGCAGCGCACAGGAATACAATAACTGCAGGGATGATGTTCAACACAAGCAGCAAGCAGAAGACCCAAAAGCCAGATGATAGAGTTGTCAGGTAATCAAATGCTGCCTCCACAAACCTGTGCACACCCACACCTTCAATCTGAAAGAACTAGGGAACAGGATGGTTTTTAAGTAAACTAGTAATAAACAGAATTTGTAAAAATGATAAAAAAAACTGAATGAAATGGGAAAATTATCTAGAATTTAGAAGAGATTCGGACGACAACAAGCAGCAGCTTGGACACAGAAAAGGGCGTGGACAACAGAGCAGAGAAGAGAAGGCCGCACAGAAATAGGCGCAGAGGGACGCTTACTTCTAACCAGAATTTCAATGGCTGAGGACATCTGGGTGGCAGGGTGGGGAATTTGGGGACAGAGTCTTCTGTACGAAGGCTTATCCCTAGTTCTATGTGACCTGTAATCTAACGATGATCCTGAACTTTTGGTTCTCCTGGCTCTACTTCCTGAGTGCTGAGACCGCAGGTATTCCCCACCACACCATGTTCCAGGTAAGGCTCAAACCCAACACTTCAAGCTTCCTAGGCAAACACTACTGTAGGAGCCAGCCATGATAAGCTAAATATGAACAGATCACCCAAAGTTCTTTACTTCCAACCATTATCTCCTACCAGAGTAGGACCCAGCCAATGATAAGTTTAATGGAGGCTGCGTCTCAGTAGTTTACCCTGAAGCAATGCCTGGTTGCAGGAAGGACCATAAACTAAGATTATCTGGGCACCACCCAAGAACAGACCATCCACAGGAAATGCCTAACATTCCAATCACTGTAGATAGGATCACCTTTCAGTGCACACTCACCAGGACACCCCTAGACAAACGTGAGCCAATCAGGGGTCCTGAACCTCAAAAACCCCTCACCCCCACCTTTACTACTATAAAAACCCAACTCCAACTGAGCTCGGGGCTCTCTATTCCAATACGTTGGATATGCAAAGACACTGAGTTTGCAAACTTGCATAAAATAAAAGCTCTTTGCTTTTACATAAGGGACTTGGTCTCCTTGTTGGCTTTTGGGGGACTTCACGGATTTGGGCCTAACAACTGCTAAATCAGCTACGTCTCCAACCCAAATTATTTTTTTTAAATATTTATTTATTTATTATGTATACAATATTCTGTCTGTGTGTATGTCTGCAAGCCAGAAGAGGGCACCAGATCTCATTACAGATGGTTGTGAGTCACCATGTAGTTGCTGGGAATTGAACTCAGGACCTTTGGAACAGCAGGCAATGCTCTTAACCGCTGAGCCATCTCTCCAGCCCCTCCAACCCAGATTATTTTGTTTTTGTTTTTCAAACTGATGAAGGCACTAATTCACAGACTCAAGAAAATCAGTAAGTTCAAAGGTAAAATAGTCAGAAATACCAACCCTACCCAGAGAAAACACAGGAAATTTCTCGAAAGCAGTGGAGAGAAGTAGCGGCAGCCAACATGAAAAGAACGCCTAGCCAGGCAGGCCCTTCACTTCTAGCTAACATCAACAGAAGGCCTGAGATAGGATCCACAAGTCAGTGAGGAACATCAGTCTGACACCCCACGCTGGGGAAAATAACCATCAAGAATCAGGGCTGAGCAAAGATATTTCCCGGGTAATAAACTTGACATCAGCCCTTTAAGAGGAAATTCTAAAACCCTTCCATAAATGAGGAATTCCACCAAAATCTAGAAAGCCAAAAAGAAGTAGGGGGGGGGGGGACACCAGACCAAAACAAACAAAAGAAATTCCTTCTGGGCCTCATGCTCTAACTCCTCAGGCCTCTGTGCTACCTGGACAACTGTCAGAGGAGACGCAGTGGGCTACTCGGACAGTAACGGAGCAAGAGTAGATACTTTCAATGCATTTTTCTTAAATACAAATAAGGTGATAGATTTAGGGTTAAATAAAAAGATTTATTGCTCCAATTAAAAAATAAAAACCACTGGGTGGTGGTGGGTGACACATATATTTGAGCCCAGCACTTGGGAGACAGAGGCAGGCAGATCTATTGACTGTGATCCCAGCCTGGTCTACAGGGGTCCAGGGCCAAAAAAAAAAAAAAAAAAAAAAAAATTCAGCTGGAGGTAATGACACACACCTTTAATCCCTTTAAGCACTTGGGAGGCAGAGACCAATGGATTTGAGTTTGAGGCCAACCTGATCTACATAGTAAATTCCAGGACAGCCAAAGACATATAAGAGAGACCCTGTCTCAAAAACAAACAAACAAACAAACAAATAAATAAATAAATAAGATAAAAATGATCATGTTGTTTTTGAATCTAACTGATAGCTGTTTACAGAAGACACTTGGAGCACAAGGACACAGAAACCCTGACCTACACAAAGGGATGAAAAATAAGCAACCCGAACCCAGGCAACGGGGAACTGAGTGGTGCCTGGTGTTAACTAGGACAGAGACACCCTAAGGAAAAAGCGGTGAAGACAGACACTTCCCAGTGACCCAGACTCCAACTCTCCAAGAGTCCGGGAGGCTCTATAAGTGTATAACCTGACAACACAGCCTCAGACAAAACACAGCATAAGCCAGAAACACTGACAAAAGCAACTTTGTAGGAGGGTACAGAATTTAAAAACTTAATCTTGCACAAGTTCATGCGACAAATTTCAGTATCAGTGGTCTATAGAGCAAGCTTCTGACCCCCAACACTAGGGGGCGCCATCCACATGTAACAGTGCTGTCCGCAGCTGCCCTAGCCGGGAGTGCACCTGCCAAGGATGAGGACCCTGCTGCAATCACAGACATCCTCAACAAGCAATTAAGAAGTCAAAACATATCCTAGAAATTCTCACCTATGCTACACATTACAAAGCAGACTGGGTGTGCCTGTGCTTTCTGATAATCCCAATACATAGGATGCAAAGGCAAGGGGATCCTGGGATTGAGGCCAGCACAGGCTATGTAACGAAATCCCGTCTTAAAAACACGACAATAGAATACTTTCAAATAACTAATTAATTAATTCAAAATATAAAGTAAAATAATCTGAAGTGGACAACCACATCACCATATGAAAACACAGAACACAGTTGAAGCAGTAACTTCCCAGAACTAAATACAACATCAGGAGAACAAACGGCTTGGCTGTTTTGCTTTTCTGATATCCAGTTTGAACGCCAATATCTGTCTCTGGGTTTTATTATTTGTGCTACATCTGGCACAAGCACGTACTACATGAAGGCACACACTCATTAACATAAAGTAAAAATAAATAAATCTTAAAGCCTGGAAGTGGTAATCTCAGCACTCGCGAGGCAGAGGCAGGTAGATCTCTGTGTGTTTAAGGCCAGCCTGGTCTTCAGAGCAAGTTCCAGGACAGCCAAGGTTACACAAAGAAACTCTATCTCAAAAAGCCAAAAATGAATAAACAAATCTTACAAAGAAAAAGAAAAGGAGGAAAAAGCAAAAGCTGGACCCAGCCCCCGGCTAGCCATGGGGAACATAGGAAATGTCCCCCAAGATGAATGCAGAAGCTGGTTCTGGGAGCCAGTCAGCAACCCATCTGCTCTGTAGATCTATAATAGCATTGAAAACCCACAAGAAACCACTTGCATGTGTGCACTCATAAACCTCACCTCCCCAGCAGCTCTATCCACTCTGAACACCTGGGAGGGGCAAGAGCTATGCACACAGGT